TCAATCTGTTCGTAGGCCAAAGACCATGAAGCTCAATTGTTGTCGCGCTTTCGCTTCCAAAACGCTGCTAAATTGCCCATTCCTCTGTTAAACCCTAAGGATCTATTTCTCTCGAAGCTCGCTTCTGTTGCTGCTTCTTCCCCCAAGATAATTCTTAATCGTCCGGTTAATCCCGATACGCCACCGTATTTGGATTTGTTTGACTCTCCTAAGCTCATGGTTACTCCTGCTCAAGTGGAAAGATCAGTGTCGTACAATGAACATAGGCCAAAAAGCCCTCTGCCATACTTACCTTTATTGTTTCTTCACGGGAAAATTGTTTACATTGGCATGTCGCTTGTGCCTGCGGTGACCGAGCTTATTGTTGCTGAGCTAAGGTATCTTCAATGGATGAATCTCAATCAGCCAATATATCTTTACATAAACTCTACTGGAACAACTCGTGATGATGGTGAAACGATGAGCTTTGAATAAAGAGATGAGATGCATTTATATTATATAGCTTTTGGAGTTGTTACGATCATATGCTATATCATTTAAGACAAGAAGTAAGCCAAGTTGTATTGAAAGTTGGATCTCAGTATTTCTTTCTATAGATTAAATAAATCATAATGATGAAAAAGAACAAGGCTATAATATGAACCCGAATGGCCTTTAATCTCTTAACAATATCTTTTTTTTTTTCATATTTATTTATTTATTTTTACAATATAACATTCTTTTTTGACCTTTTTTAAGGAACTTCAACCAATCAAATGTAAGTAATTTGAATCGGGTTTTTTTAAATTTAATTTAAATTTCAATTTTCGCTATTAAGATAATCGAGAAATTAATTGGTAACGAAAGAGCAGTACAAGGGTGCTAATCCTTCCATGACTGTAACCGACTCTCGAACCTGACACATTTATGGTAAAACGTAGATCAAGTAAGATGGTGTCTGATTAGTCTAAATATTTTTTTAAATGATCGGTGGCGACTCTAATGTTTTTATTTAAGTCGAAACCCAATTCCAAGCCCACCCGAAAGACGGCTGCAATATATATATATATATATATATATATAATCTAATATTTATGTTCTAGAGAGAAAAATATAATAATCACAATAATAGGATTGAAAGAATAAAGAAATTGTCTTGTTTAAATGAATTAAAGTGCCTAGTCGTCCTTATAATGGTGGGTTATATATTTCTATTCTACTTGTTTTATGAATTTTATAATTGATAATAAAGAAATATTTAATCAACTGTGCAATTTTTTTGGTGAGATGTAGGTCTCTTATATTTTTTTTATTAATATGGGTAAGTATAATCTAACATTTGTTTGAAGATAACTTTTAATTATTTAATATTGAATACTCATATTCTTGATATTTATGGTGTTCAAACTCAGGACCTCGATAAATGACAATAATTTATTTATCACTGAAATAATTTGATTCGTGCATATTTTACATTTTAGTAGGTGTAATAATTCTTTTTATTATATTTTCTAATTTTTTTCGTTTAAATAATTCAATTACGGGAAAACCTAAATAAATCAATGATAGATAATAATATTGAGGGTGAATTAGTCATTTGACGTATAAAGGCTTGTAGGTGACGAACTGACGGTCAAATCAAAACTAGCCAAGGTTACGTAGTTATGAACTTTTTGAGTAAAATAACATAAGGTCATTAAACTATTGTCTCTATGCTATTTTGACCACTAAATTAAAAAAATTGCCAATTAGATAATTGAACTTTTAATTTGGTCTTAATTAAGCCATCAAATGTTAACAGGTAATGGAATTGCTTTTAATAATTTTTTTCAATTAGGTAACCAAATGTTAACTTTTAATTTCGTAGTTATAAAATAATAAATTGTTAAATATTAAAAAAATATTATACATATGATATATAAACACAAAAATAAATTATTCATATTCATATAATCGCATTAACAAAGTCAATATGTTTTTAATTTCATATGTGCATCAACCATCACTAAAGATATCATACACTTTTATATCATGCATGTACACTAATGAGAAGCTGAGAGGATAGAAGTTTACACAGGAAAAGTATATCTCTTATTATCAACATGAGCAGCAATTTATAAATGTACAATAGCTTAATAACGGCTCAACAAATTCACTCTAACTGCTTAACAGCCTTGGTAACAAACTAACCACCTGTTTGAAGCACATACACGTGAATGCATACATACCAGAACCATACACATATTAATAGTCTAACATACACATACTAAACATGATTTTATTATCATATATTCATATTATCAACACTTATATAAAGTATTTTTATAAAATTAATCGAGAATCATGAATTTTACACCTAAATATAGTTAGGAAATATCGCAAGTTATTCGCACCAATGCACACATATAATTATATTTCAAACAATTTTTAAACATCGTTTTATATACTAACTTATTATACAATGCGTAAGGACTAGCAAACGAACCTTATAATTGTTTGAAATATGATTAGATGCGTGTATTGATGGAAATAATTTATGATATTTCCTAACTATATTTAAATGTAAAATTCGTAAGTCTTGACTAATTCGATAAGAATACATTTTATAAATGTTGGTGATATGATTGTATGGTAATGAAATCATGTTTAATATGCATACATGTATAATATAAAAATGTATGACATATTTAGTGATGATTGATATTAGGAGTGCTTAATGAGTTGAACAACTCGTGAGTTACTTGAATTCAACTCAATCAAAACTCGGTCAACACTTGACTCGAACTCAAACTCGACTCAAGACCTTAATGATTTGAGTCAAACAAAGTCCAACTCAATTCGATAAGTTCGTGAACAGTTTGTTAACTTTTTTTACTAGTTACTTTAAAAATTTATTTCATTAAAAAAGTCTAATTATTAATTATTAATTTGATAATAAAAAAAGAAAGATGCTAAATTATTAATTAATAATTATTAATAATTTATTATTTTCTAATAAACAACAATAAATATATTAAATTATTAATTTACTAGATTTTACATATAATTACAAAATAAGATAAAAATTCTAGTGAGCTTAACAAGCAATGAGTTAAGTTGAGTCGAATAATAATTTTTTTTAACGAGCACGAGTTGAGCAAAATTTTATCGAGCTTAACGGAAAATGAGTCTAATTGAACAACAATTTTTTTTTAATGAACACGAATCAAATTTTGCTTAGCTCGCGATTGACTTGCTCGATAAACACCCATAATTGATATATATATACATGCAATTTATCACTTTCTAATTCTTTCTTACTTGAAGGAACTCATTTATTATATATATATTTTTAGAGGAATTTACTCTTACACAAACTTTTCAAATGCCTTCACAAAATTGCATATTTATAGTAGAACAATGGATACCCTAAAAGACAACATACATAATTTTATAACCAAATCCATTAATGCTAGATGTACCTAAGAGATGATGTCATTCATGATATGATAATTTCAATTAAAGAAAATGCACCCAACATTATAAAAATTAATAACATTATTATTTTTTGAACAATGAATTCTGCATTAACAATCTAATTAATAGTTAAGATTCTGATTTTTTTTTAAAAAAACCAAATATCAGTTTAAAATAAAAAAAATTAAGATACAAATACGTATACAATATATACTACGAAAATAGAATAATGAATCAACAATTAGTTGGTCTAGTGGGATGAGACACTAGATTTTTTAAGTAAGGTCAGAGTTCAATTTCTGACGTTTGTGAATAGAGCAAATTGAGTTAGGAGGTTTGTTATCGAATCTGTAATATCCAATACAAATTAATTAATTAATAAATCAGATAGATTATTCCAAAATCAGGAAAATTAATAATGAGATTCCGTTCATCAGCACTTTCAATCATTGCAGGTCTTGGACTCAAAACCTTTGCCCAAGCCTGATGCTAAACGGGTCTGATTTCGGGCGAGTTTATAACCCGGCCCATGAGTACGTATATATCTGGCGCTTTTCTCAGGCTTTTAAATTTCGAATTCCCGAACTGGGAGAGAGAAAAGCAAGAAGGAAAATGGGGGTAAAGAATTTGTGGGATGTTTTGGAATCTTACAAGAAAACGTTGCTCTTCTTCATCTCCAGAACAAAAGGAGATGCATAGATCTGTCTTGTTGGATGGTTCAGCTTCAAAATGTTAACAAATCTCACTGCCCCATGAAGAACAAGCTTTATCTCATGGGTCTCTTTCACCGCATCGGGGCTCTCATTTTCTTGAATTGCTGCCTTATTTTTGTCATCGGTGAGTTCCTTCTGCTCTTCACTCGTTAGTTTTAGTAAGATAAAATATGGGTTTCTTTTCAAAGTTGGAGACAACATTGAATTGTGTACAGTTGGATTGAAAAACATGCTTTCTGGTTCTTTCTATTAGAACTTTTGTAATGCTTGGGGATTGAACTCTTCGAAGTTTGATTTGATTGTGTTAAATTACAGTGTATTTTATGAGAAAATTGTATCTTCAGGATTTTAGCCACTTTCTTGGTTAATGAAGTCAGTTACTTATCCAAAATAAAAACAAAAATGTGCGTAGTGTTTTCATTCTTTAGTTGTAGTTGTATGGTAATGGTTTGATACTTTGTTTCTGCATCCGGTAGATGGTTCAATTCCTTCCATCAAATTAGCTACATATAGGCGGTGGTTAAACTCAGGAACTGAGGTGTTGAATCAGGTATGCTAAATTTCACTGTATTTGATATTTATCCTCTGAAGTCTGAACTCTCCTGTTGCTACAGTTTCTTGGGAAGATTTTCTTTCATGCATTTGAGTTGTTGTTAGGGCAGGCTACTCAGGATGGGGCAAATTCTCTGAAGTTATCTTCTCTTAAAAGGAATATGGGATCTGAATTCTCATGGATGATCAAAGAAGCAAAATACCTTGGATCAGCATTTGGAATTCCCTGTAATTTCCAATATTTTTTATTGTTTGATATATTTTGATAATGTACTGAACACTGAATCTTCATTCTCTCTTATTTTATTTTATTTGAAATCAGTATCGAAGAAGCTGAAGCACAGTGCGCATTACTAAACTTAGAATCCTTATGTGTAAGTAGTTCTTTTTTTTGCCCCCTTAGTGAATACGATTGGAATACTACAATAATCAAAGTTTGCATAGGCACACCGGTCATTAAATTACTTTACTATTATCAGGATGGGTGTTTGTCTTCTGATTCAGATATCTTCATTTTTGGTGCCAGGACAGTGTACACAGACATTTTGCCTTGGTAAGTGTTTGGCTATTTTGTGTCCTTTTAGTTGTTTTATAGAATTATCATTCTTTCTAACCCTTTTTATAATTTGAATTAGGTGAAGTAGGTCATGTTGTTTGTTATGAAATGGATGATATAGAGCAGAAAATTGGATTTGGAAGAAACTCTTTGGTAATTTACATCTTTTCTTCAAGCATCTAACAATAAATTGCACTAAGATTGGAAACTCATGATATTGGGACTTTCAGATTTCTTTGGCCCTTTTTCTTGGCAGTGATTACTCTCAGGGTGTTCATGGTCTTGGTCTGGTATGTTTCAATATCACAATGCTTCTAATATATTTGTGGGTTGTTTTGTTTTTTTTGAAAAATGGTTATTAAAAACGATATACATATTCCTTGCTCATCCAAGAGTCAGCATGCCAGATTGTTAAATCGATTGGGGATAATCATATTCTTCAAAAAATTGTGTCAGAAGGACTTTCTTTTGCAAGGAAGAAAAATAATCTAAAGAGACAAGGTCAAGTCAAGTGCAACAACACCACATTGTCTAGCGAAGTGAACATGAATGGTGAATGAAGTAACATGCTTCCTTTACATTTTAGGATATTACTTTTAGGATATTACTAGCTTGTGCATTTGGTTCTATTTAGATATTGTTTTCCAAAGTTTATCAAGTTAAGGTTCCTTAAAAAAATGGTTAAGCTAAAAAGAAATAACTTATTGTAAACAGTAATGGAATCATATAAAAATGTCTATCAAATTGTGAGATGACATCTGTGAAGAGAATTAGTCGAGCTACTATAGATGTCCTTGTATTTGGAGAGGTCTTAATATAAGTAGCCTGATATTGAGATTATTGTTTAGAAGGATGTTGGTTGAGTGTTATTAAACTTTATCTTGACATGAAAAGATTAAATCTTGCTCAAATTGACACATTTAGCTTTTTTGAATTATCAATAGGTGAAATTCAGATTTCGCAAACAGATAAGTATTTGCAAGTGGTGGAAGCATATATGAACCCCAAGTGCCACTTAGCTGACTCTGATGTAGTCTATAGGTAAATTTTATGTACCGATCTGTTGGAATTCCTAGAATTAAGGGATGATATCTTTTTTTCTTAATTCTAGGAGTTTGCCTTATGTAAATAGTCACTAATCTAATTCCCTTATCTTAGAATCATTTCCTAACTTAGAGTAGTTTTTTCTTATAAATTGTAATTTACGTTTAGAGCAATAAAGTAAGAACTTCATTTCTTATCACATTTGTTCATTACACCAGAGCTGTAGGACTCATTTGATCCTATTCTGCTTTTCCTCTAGAAATTGTTCTTGTGTTATTTTCTTCCTATGGCAGAACAACCAGAAAATCTTTTCGAATCTGAAACCTCACATGTTACCCAAAACATAAATCAATTAATCCTTCTTGGTGACATGAGTTCCTCTCTTATAATCACCAACCATAGTTTAGATGAAGAAATTTCCTACAACGATCTCATTCAATTCTAATGGTTATTCAAGGCCATGGGAAATTAGGATATATCAATGGAGAAATTCCTCAGCCAACCATCACAGACCCTACATAAGTCGGACCTATCTCCTATTCAAGACTGCAAAAGAAATGTGGGATGCAGTAAAGGAAAACTATTATGATCTGGGAAATGTTTCCTAAGTATTTGAGATCAAATTAAAACTGAAAGATATTCTACAAGGGACGCTTGAGGTAACTCATTATTGTAACAACTTGAAGATCTTGTGGCAGGAACTCGACATGTACTATGAAGCAGACTAGGATGAAGGCTTGGAACAATCCAAATTTAGAACACATCTCAATAACGAAAAACTCTATGATTTCCTTACAGGACTGAATCGGGATTTAGATGAAGTTCGTGGATAGATTGTAGGCAGGACTCCTCTTCTTACCATTGGTAAAGCTTTTGCAGAAGTTAGAAGAGAGAAAAATTGTCGTCAAGTTATGATGTGAGATAATATAGACCCAAAACCAGTGACTACCACTGGACATTGTCCTATTGAAACCTCAACCCTTGTATTTAGGGGTCCTCAATTCCAAAAGAGGAGTGATGCAGGTTAAAGTCGAACAATAGAACAACCTTGGTGTAGCCAATGCAATCGCACTGGTCATATGAGAGAAAAATGCTTCAAACTCCATGGATACCCTGAAAGCACAAAAATTCAGAAAGAGACCAAATGTAACACCCTCAGATTGATGCAGGTGACTCGATCCGATCTGAGGTGTCACATTAGGGCCAAAATAACATAAAATTTAAAACTTTTATTAAAACATGTAAAATCATAAAAAATCATTTGTAAGTACAAAAGTAAAATTTATCAGTATTCCTTAATAAAACAGTTTTCAGACTCAGATATAAAAATAAAATACAACCTACATGCCCCCTAATCATATGTACCATACTTTGCAAGTAACACCAGAAGAACTCCCTTAATGATGACGATAGATGCACTGGTACGATTCTTATAACCTGAAAAGATGAGTAATAGAATGAGCTTTAGGAAGCTCAGTAATACAATACTACCAGATGATGCTACAGGTCATGCAGATAACCGATAATCATATGTTTCCTTAATGGTTCAGACATCTATAGATTTTTAGGCTATGTTGAGGTCCTATTGATATCTCAGGTAGTAATAGACAATAAGCTTTCTGTTCAGATGAAAATATTTTCGATGACTAAGTTTAGGAGATTATGATAGATTATCTAGTGTGTTCCCGCAGAACATTTAAAACAATTATTTTTTTAAAATCAATAAAGATCACAATCATTGAAACATTATAGGAGTTTTTAATTTAAAAACTCCGAATCTTCCTCAAACCGAACGCTATGTATAGTTCCCTAAAACTGGAAAACCTAAGGGATTACCTTGGTGATTGAGAGCCTACCCAAGATAATTCTTGGGGCCACGGAGGCTTACCTAAGAAAAATCTCAGGGCCGTAGAGCCTACCAAAGGGTCGCCTTAAGTCCATAAGGAATTACCAGTCGGTGCTGAACCTATATAAAGAATTACCAACAGTGACTGAATCTGCCAGAGTCTTCATACCAGATCCCAGAGTGCTCCGAATAAAACATTTTCCTTATGTAACGGAGATATCAGAAATCAGAGAAAAAATCAAAACAAAATTCGAGTAGAAATCACATAAAACATTCATATGATCAGATAACACACTAGAGGTTACAAATATGGTTCGGAGGTACTGAATATTCTTATCGGACATAAAAATAGGGATTTTTAATATACCGATAGAATGCCAAAAGTTAGAATCACTATCTGAAGAGTTCATTGGCTGACAGAATCATCCGTTATTCAGAACGTTATTTATCATGTCCATATTGTATTCAAACATTTTTCGGAGGCACTAAGTAATCACAAGGGTATTCAGAAATCCTTTGCATCTTAGTTACTTGTGTTTTTAGATATGACCGAAGTGATTTGAGCTGACAAGGGAGAACAAAGATTCATGACATTTACCATCTATGTCGATTGATCAGATTATCGAACAACTCGAGTTGAATAACTTCAGAACTGATACTTCAGATTCAACTAATCAATCAGCTTGGATCATGGATTTAGGTGCCTCCGACCACATGATAGTAACTCATCCCTATTCCACAGCTACATCCCCTGTCACAATCAATCTCGTATCCGAATAGCTGATGGTTCATACTCGCATATTGTTAGAACTGGGGAAGTTCAACTCACTGAAAAACTCTCTCTTGACAAAATCTTACATGTCCCAAATTTATCCTGCAATTTACTGTCAGTTAGTAAACTAATTGAGGATAATGCTTCTCTTGTTGAATTTTTTGATCGTGGTTGTGTTGTACAAGAACAAAAATCGCGGAAGATGATTGGCACTGCTAAGGTTGATGATTGACTCTACATATGGAATAAAGACAATAAGAAAGGAAGTTTGGTGTTATATGTTTCACATAAGGACATAATTACGCTGTGGCACCAAAGGTTAGGACATCCAAACTTCTTGTACATGAAGTATTTACTTCCACTGTTATTTCGAAATAAAAATCCAAATTCCCTAAAGTGTGAAATTTGCCAACTTTCAAAACATATTCGTGTTCCTTACACATTAAAACCTTACATCCAATCCAAATCTTTCTCCTTAATACACATTGATCTATGGGGGGTTAGTCGAGTGAAAAATATTACGGGGGCTAGATGGTTTATAACATTTATTGATTACCATACTAGAGTTTGTTGGGTTTATCTCCTCAAAGAAAAGTTCGAAACACCCACAGTATTCCAAAATTTTCATTCAATGATTAGAACCCAATTCAATTTCACCATACAAACGCTCCGCACCGATAATGGAAGAGAGTACTTCAACTCGATTTTAAGTCCTTACTTTGCATAACAAGGCATCATACACCAAAGCTCCTGTCCAGACACACCACAACAAAATATAATTTTTGAAAGGAAAAATCGACACCTATTAAATGTTGCTCGATCCCTAACGTTTACCACAAATATACCAAAATACCTATGGGGAGAGGTTGTTCTTACCGCATGCTACCTAATCAACCGAATGCCATCCAAAGTCCTTAAATTTCAAACACCTCTAAATACCCTTAAAAAACTTTCCCTCTTTTTCATCTTCCTACCTTACTGGTTAAATTATTCGGGTGCAAAGCCTTTGTCCATAGCCATCAACCCAACCTATCTAAACTTGACTGTCGTGCTCATACTTGTGTTTTTATTGGCTACTCCCCTACGCAAAAAGGGTACAAATGTTACTTAACTACTTTGCATCGTGCATTTGTTTCTCGAGGTGTAACCTTCTTTGAAACATAACCATATTTTTCAGCAACTCATCTTCAGTGGGAGATTCTAAATGAAGATGAGAAACTCAATACCCTCCTTATTACTCCACTACTCGATCCTAATCTGCCACAAAATTTTCATACAAATGGCATCCTCATAATCCCCTCACAACAGCCCTCTTCCCAGCAGTACAATGATGATCCTAGTATACATAAACATCAACAGTTTGCTCCACAGCTTGCTCCTGAAACTCAGTAACTATGTGTTCCTAAACTATGGGTTTATTCAAGGCGTCATTACTCTCCTGAAATTGACATAGCAGTGCCAAATTCATCTACAACTGTAGACTGTTCTACAATAGAGGTAACTCTTGATTCTCCATATACTGATCTCCCAATTGCTATTCGAAAAGGTGTAAAGACCTACACCCAACAACTTATCTCTCAGTTTGTTTCTTATGGAATATGTCCAAGTCATACAAAAACTTTGTGACAAATTGTAGACACCTGTTTTTGATCGGGCTTAAAAAAATATTATATTATTATATTTATTATTATTATTATTATTATTATTATTAAAAATAATTTTGGTTACAATGTTTGCATGCCCACATTACATCAAAACCCAGCAGATCAGGAGCCCAGATAAACAACCTATACAACAACCCAAGTACATTGACCTAACAGTAGATTCGACCCGTGACCTAAATCGGTTCATTTTAGATTAAGATTTTTCTAACAATCCCTTATCAATCTAAGCCAGCG